GATGAGAAGTTTAGCAACATTGCTGTGACCTAAAAAATGAAAGAGAAGAAAAAATCAAAAAAATTCTGCATTTTGTGGAAAAAAAACCATTCAACATTACCATTATCAGCAGCATAATGAAGAGCTGTCGTATTGAAATTATTTTGGATATTAACATTGGCTCCTTTTTTGATAAGAAGTTCGGCGATATCCTTGTGACCTGAAAAATAGCACAGATCGATGAAAAAAGTTCAGACCAATCTTTTATTCAATAAAAACGAATATTCAACGTTACCTTCCCGAGCAGCAATATGAAGAGCTGTCACACCCATATTATTTCTAATTTTAGGGTCGACTCCTTTATTGAGGAGTTTTTGAGCTTCCTTCATTTGGCCTTAAAGAATATACAAAATATTCATAGATCAATAAAACGGATTGAAAAAAAAACAATCTTTTAAAAAGTAAATGCCCAAAATTACCAGCATTAGCAGCTCTATGCAGATCTGTCTCTCCATTTGCGTCTCTTTGGTTTACTGAAAATTTAAAATAACACTGTACAGCAAAAAAAGGTCAACTCGAATACTGAGCAAATGGGTATTATAGGGTAAAAGTAGGTGCCAAATCTAGCAAAACCTCATCTCTGGTTTTTCCCTAGCACGTCACAATTTTTTCTAATCGCGATAGGCGTTTTGTGGGGTTTTCTGGTTTAAAAAAAAATTCTTTGGACTTTATTTCACCAACCGTTGAACATTTGTTAATACTGTCTTTGGCAAAGTTGTTCAGAATAATAGCGTCTACAAAACTGGTAACATGCTAAGGACCCGAGGGGTCATAGAAGGACGCTTAGGGACAAAATGTCGCGAAAAAACCCGAATTTTTCAATTTTTCGACCATAACTCGCAGGATTTTCTATATATTTGGTTACTGTTTTTAGAAATTTTGTATCCAACGTATCTAAAGTAGTACCGTGAGCGATTGAAAAGACAAATAACAGAAAAGTTGATGGTTGAACAAAGCAGCAATATTAATATTGCTGTCTTTACCAACTGGATCTAATTAAATTGCTCTGCAATATTAATCTTGTTTCCTTTACCAATGAGATAATTAGCGACTTCAGTGTGATCTGGAAAACAATAAAAAAGATCAATGAAAGATATTAAAGCGAAATTTTATTTAGTCAGCATTACCACCGCGAATAGCTGAATCAATAGGTGTCCAACCCAAATCATCTTCAATATCATCTATGGCTCCATTTCTGATGAGAAGTTCAGTAACATTCTTGTGACCTAAAAAATGAAAGAGAAAGAAAAAATCAAACAAATTCTGCATTTTGTGGAAAAAAACCATTCAACATTACCATTCTTAGCAGCTAAATGAAGAGGTGTCCTATTGAAATTATTTGGGATATTAACATTGGCTCCTTTTTTGATTAGAAGTTCGGCGACACCCTTGTGACCTGAAAAATAGCATAGATCGATGAAAAAGATAAAACCGACTTCCTATTTGATAAAAAACAGAATTCAATATTACCATTCTCAGTAGCATAATGAAGAGCTGTCGTACCGAAATTTTTTTGGATATTAACATTGGCTCCATTTTTGATCAGAAGTTCGACGACATCCTTGTGACCTGGAAAATAATTTAGATTGACGAAAAAGATAAAACCGACTTCCTATTTGATAAAAAACAGAATTCAACATTACCATTCTCAGCAGCATGATGAAGAGCTGTCGTATTGAAATTATTTTGGATATTAACATTGGCTCCTTTTTTGATAAGAAGTTCGGCGATGTCCTTGTGACCTGAAAAATAGCACAGATCGGTGAAAAAGAACAGACCAATCTTTTATTCAATAAAAACGAATATTCAACGTTACCTCTCATAGCAGCAAAATGAAGAGCTGTCACACCTATATTATTTCTAATTCTAGGGTCGGCTCCTTCATCGAGGAGTTTTTGAGCTTCTTCCATTTGGCCTTAAAGAATATACAAAATATTCATAGATCAATAAAACGGATTGAGAAAAAAAACAATCTTTTAAAAAGTAAATGCCCAAAATTACCAGCATTAGCAGCTCTATGCAGATCTGTCTCTCCATTTGCGTCTCTTTCGTTTACTGAAAATTGAAAATTTTAGCAGATCATTTAAGTGCACGCACTCTTATCGAAGAAATGGGGAAATCAATGTTTCGCTATTCAGAGAATGTGCTTGCATTTCGCATAATAATGAAACATGTTGAACAAAGATCATATCGATAAGATCAGAGTTGACGTAGATCACACATCGATCCAACGCTTTAATCTT